CAGTATTCTAAATGGGACAAGAAAGAAGTGGTTCCCTTTGACAGTGTCTTGGACAGTTAGGGAAAATTGGAACTCACTGATATGCTTTCAGTTTTCTCCATTGGTGAAATCATAGGCGAACAAGATTTTTCTTGTCACTGAGATATGCCATCTTGGAGGCAGGATGATGTGGGTAAAGTAAAACTGTTCCTTTTACCCTCTTGAATGTGTCTAATCTTGGATTTTTTTTTTTTCTCGTATGGTATGCTGAAACTTTTCTGCCGGACTCCCAGAGTTTCACAGAGGTACTCACCTCCATGGGTGATTATCTAAATCAGTGCTAGTTGGGGGGAAGATGGTAGAAAAATTATTCCTTAATGTTGATGATGTCACTTTTTATTTTAAATTGTGTAAAATAAACATAATATGAAATTTATCATCTTAACTGTTTTGAAATGCAGAGTTCACTAGTGTTAAGTATATTCACATTGTTGTGTCATCAATCTCCAGAACTCTGATGATTATGTTTTAACCAGATTTTCTTAGAACTTACTCCTTAAACTTACTCAATACTAATTTGTGTGAGCATTTGTTACTCTTCAGCTGTTTCTTCTTAGAATACAAGAATCTCCTCAAGAGTAACCTAAAAATCTAGTGTAAGTTCTTTGAGATCAATTACCATAAGATTTTAAATTGTACAATTTTGAGGATCCTCCATTCATAACAAAATGTCTCACAGTGTGTTCCAGTTCCCTTTTCTTCCTTGTAAAGTTTTAGAAGCAGCTTGTCTTTCTATAAGAAATACTCCTGAGATTTTCATTAATATTTGCCATCTGAGCCTTGAAGTTTCTTTTTCAGAACACTTTAAACTATGAATTCAATTTTGTTAATGGTTACAGACCTACTTAAGTTATCTCTTTGAGCTTGAATGAGTTTTAGTAGTTTTTGTTATTTGAGAAATTGGTTCATTTCTTTTAAGTTGTGAAATCTGTGTATAGAGCTATTTATAATATTCTCTTATTACCTTTTTATGTCAGTAGGGTCTGTAGTAATATCCTCTTTTTCATTCCCTTTCATGCTAATTAGTTTCTTTCTTTCTCCTTTCTTGTCAGTCTTGCTTGAGGTTTATCAATTTTACTGATCTTAAAAAAAAAAACACCAGATTTTAGTTTCATTGGTTTTCTCTGTTCAAGTTCATGATTCTTTACTCTAACATCTGTATTCTGCTATTGAGTCTATACAGTGAGTTTTTGATTTTGATCATTGTATTTTCAATTCTTAATTTCTGTTTGGTTCTTCTATTTTATATATTGTATTTCTTTGTTGATGTTTCAAATTTTAACATTTGTTTCAAGAATGTTCACAATTGCCATTTAAAGTTTTATAGTAGCTCTTTAAAGTCTTTGTCAGATAATTTCAGCATCTGTGTCATCATGTCATTGACATCTGTTGATTGTGTTTTCCCATGTGAGTTGAGATTTTTGTATTTCTTCATATGCCAAGTAATTTTGGATTGTATTTCTGGGCCTTTGAAATATGACACTAAAAAATGGTTTTATTTAACTCCTAAAGAGAATGTTGCGATTTTTTTTAGTAGTTCACCTGGCTAGATTTAGACACAAGTTCCAACCTGTGACTGTGATTCCAATATTGGCTCAGTTTAAGCTTTTGCAGTGTTAGTTGAATTTGTCCTATGTGTGTACCACCTAGTAATTAGTCTTGGATTGAGTGAAATTGTTAGCTTAGTTCTCAGTGTCTTTAGTATGCTAATTAGAATAAGATCGATGCATATTCAGGTGAGAGAAGTGAGCCCTGGAGTTTAATTCAATATTTCATGGAGTTTTCCCTTTCTGCTATCTCTCTAGTACTTTCAGGTTCTTTGGATCTCTGGTCAGAAACCACCTACTTCCATCATTGTTCCACCTCTTTTACTCACTGGTGAACAGACAGAGGGGAAAAGAGCAATAAAAAGCTTTGGACCCACCATCTTGCTGCCTTAACTTCATCAAATGAAGAAGTTTCTTTTCCTTCAGGATTTTGGCTCCTGTGATCTCCTCTTGGTAGTCACTGTTGCTGCCACCGTTGTTATGGGATATCTTGGAGTCTGTGACATGAGAGATTGGAGAAATGGAATGAACCCTCCCAGGTGCCCCTTTTGGCTCCTTTTTATAATGTATTTCTCTTTATTGATATTCTAATCTTGTTTATGCGTTGTTTTCCTTTGTCCCTGTCTTCCTGTACTTCTTTGAGTGTCTTTATTTTTTTTCTTTAAAAAAAATTTTTTTAACATTTATTTATTTTTGAGACAGAGAGAGACAGAGCATGAACGGGGGAGGGGCAGAGAGAGAAGGAGACACAAAATCGGAAGCAGGCTCCAGGCTCTGAGCCATCAGCCCAGAGCTCGATGCGGGGCTCGAACTCACAGACCGCGAGATCGTGACCTGAGCTGAAGTCGGAGACTTAACCGATTGAGCCACTCAGGCACCCCCTTTGAGCATCTTTAAAAAGACAATTTTAGGAGCTCCTGGGTGGCTCAGTCACTTAAGCATCCAACTCTTATTTTCAATTCAGGTCATGACCTCACAGTTTGTGAGATTGAGTCCTGCATCAGGTTCTGTGCTGATAGTGTGGAGCCTGCTTGGGATTCTCTCTCTTCCTCTTTCTCTCTGCCACTTCTCCACTCTCTTCTCTCAGTCTCTTTCTCAAAATAAATAAACATAAAAATAAAAAGACAGTTTTAAAAAAGTCTTTGTCTAGTAATCTCAGTGTCTAGGCTTTTCAGGGTCAGTTCTGTTGATTAATTTTGCTCCTTTGAATGGGCCATACTTTTTGATTCTTTGTATGCCTTTGGTTTTTTGTTTTTTGAAAACACTGGACATTTGAATCTTTTAATGTGTCAACTTTGGAAATCAGATTTCCCTCCTTCCCCAGAATTTGATGTTTTTTGATTGTTTTTGTTTTTGTTTTTTGAATGTTGAAAAGTGTCTCTGTGTTGGGGATTAGCTTGAGTTGAAAGCTCAAGGTCTCCTCATGTCTTTATTTAAGCCAGTGTCTTTCCCTGTGCACATGTGGGTTTCTAAATTTCTCTATGTATGTGGTTGCTTTTGAATGATTTAATCTTTAAATTAATATAAGGCCCAAAATAAGGAAAAGGGCAGGGAAGAAACCTAAAGATGTGTTATTCCTTTAAATGCCCTGTAAGCAGCTGTAGTCAATAGGGATTGAAACAATGATGGCCGGGTTCTGTGCTAGCCAAGATTTCCCCTGAAAGCTGCAAACTTTTAAATAGAATTTAGAGCTTCAAAATAGTTTATATTAAGTCTGCCAGTACATTTGTTGTCTAGGTAGAGAGAGGGGATTCCTGGTGCTTCCTACTCCTCCAGTTTCTCCGAGGTCACTCTCATAGAATCTTTTATAAATTTCTTTCTCAGCTGCCCTAAAAGGAACCAAGGGAGAAAATCTTCATCCATGGACCAGTGCTTTAGAGACCAGAAAAGTGTTCTTAGATCAGACTAATGAGGCAGTGGGAACCCCTCCCCCACCAAGAATATGGAAGCTCAGAAGGATAAAATTTAGTCTACGTGGGCAACCATGTTGCCTGATTTGAAGATTGACCTTCCAGGACCCGAATCCTGGTGTTTCTGGGTTTTGTTTCACTTAAGATGAGTCCCCCTTTACTAGGGGCTAGTCAGTCTCTATTCGGTCTATCTTTATTTGCATACAGACTACAATTTTGGGCTAGCACACTGAAGGCAACCTTTTCCTGACCTTTTTGAGTGTTCCTTTGTCAAGTGCATTCACAATGAATACAAAGATGAATCACAGAAGATTCCAGTTCTCCAGGGACTGGTAGTTACATTGATCAGCTGCCTATAGCCAACATACCTTCATGTAGAGGGTATGGCCCTCTATTAGTGGTGTCCAATACATTCTGCTTTGATCCTAGAGAGCAGCAATTTTACTGCTTTTGGGATCTTGGTGCATCTGTATCCAGTACATGTTTTTGAATTAATGCAGTGGTTGGGACAATTGTGGTAGGTTCTCTATATGAATTTACTGCTAGGACCCTCATTTGAACCTAATAATCACATATGCAAATATATGCACGAACTTTTACAGACATAAGTATTAGTAGTCCCTAGACCAGTGATCCTCAAACCTTGCTACTCATCACCTGAAGAACTTTCCCTAAGCCCTAATTCCTATGTTCTAACCATGGAGATTGTTTTAGTTAAGTCTGAGGTGGAAGCTGGAAATGTGTGTTTTTCAAAAGCTACCTCATAATTTTGATAGGCAGCCAGAGTAGAGGACCACAACCCTTTGAATGCCTAAGAAAATCTAGTAGTCACAACAGACGATTTAAAGTGCCTTCTATTATTTAGGGAGATTCTGGGTTAGAAAGACAAGAGCAGTAGTTTTGGAGCAGCATGGAGATTGTATTCCATTTTCAGTGTAGTCACTTAGATAAACTACTGATTTTTCAGAGCTTCAGGCTTTTTTTTTTTTTTTTTTTTTTTTTTGTAATGAAATAGGCATTATAGCGTTACCATGAGAATTTATGTAAAGCCTTACTTAGCACCTCTACTACAGCACACAATAAATGTTGGTCAGATTTATTCTGGTGTACACACGTGCCACTGGATATGTCCAGATGCAGAATCTACTGAAGTACACCTTCTCTTGCCAGTTCTTTAGGAAACCAGAGGGTTGGAGAGGTTAGTTTTCTAGCCCCCCAGCCAAGTGAAGGTCAAAAGCCAACCAAGAAGGAGGAGGCTGTTGGTACTGGTTGCTCTCCGGACTCCAAGTGCTGTGTTACGTATGTCCACCAGGGGCCGCTGAAGCTACCTAAACTCCGAGCGCTAACCTGGAGAGGCCTCCGCGCGTGCTCACTGGGTGCTACGCGTGCCTCTGAATCCCCTCCGCCATTCTAGCTTTTGGCTGCCCCAAACCAACCCTCTGTGTCTGAGTAGGGCAGCGCTTTGGGGACACAAATATTCCCTCTTCTTTGGGCTTCGCCTTGTACTTCTTCGTTCCCAGGGCAAATCTGGGGCGGCAAGTATTAGTGTCTCCATTGCGCTGCTGCCCAGGAGATAGAAGGCTGAGCCCCGCGCAGAGTTCAGGCTGACTGGGTCCTGGGCCCAGCGAGAAGCTGCCGCTGCCCGGATGTTGCGATGGCTGATCGGGGGAGGCCGAGAACCTCAGGGACTGGCCGAGGTAAACCCCCTGGCGACTCTGCCTGCCGCCAGAGAGGCCGAACATGCCTGACCAGTGGCTTTTGTCAGAGTCCAGTGCCTCATCCAGACGCGGGAGACCCGGGCGGAGGCGGGGCCTGCGGGTTCGGAGGCCGGCAAGGGCGGGGTTGGCGTGCGGGCGTGCGGGGGACGCCCTTCCTGTGGCTAGTCTGAACTGTTGATCCCCCTAAGATCCTGAGAATTAAATATCCCTGTTTCAAAAGGAGGTAACTGAATCTGATGTGGTTCAACAGCAGGCTCAAGGACATTCAGCTAGCCTTCTCCGTGCTTAAACTAGCTTCATTTCAATTATAGAAGTATCTGGCTTACGAGAAACAAGTGGTGACTGCAACTTTCTACTTAAGGTTTATTAGAGTTGGTGTCATTTCCCACCAACTGATGCTTGCTCAGGAAATAGAATATTTGATTATTTACCCAAGAACAAAAAAGGATAGAAGTATTTTAAAAAATTAATATGCTTCAAAGTCAAAAAAGTGATTTTGTAATTAACTGCTGTTTTTTGGTTCCATAGTCTGGCTTTCTTCATGGGCCTGAATAATTGAGTTGACTATAATGAAATTTATATTTGAAAGACTGAATACAATAATTTTGGAACCTTGAAAGGTTTTGTATGCCACCGAGAATTAGAATTTGTGTTGAATTCCCGTTATTTCTCATAGGAAGTAGTTGTTTAGATTGTTAAAAATGAAAAATTTGGGTAGTTGTGAGTCAGCAACCTTACTTCTCACTTTTAACTTCCTCATATTTTTGCAGTTGAGGCTTACTGTCTATTAAAAGCATTTATTTCAAATTAGACTCATTTCAGATAGGCTGAAATCCTAAGGATTATGGAAAAGTTGTAGAAAATTATCATTTATGTGACATGATAATTCAAAATTAACCCATTTATTTGATGAATCATATAATTAGATTAACTGATTCTGCCTTTCCTGATAAATTTTCATTTAGGGCAAGTGGTATACAGTTTTCAGATTTCTCAGTTTTGTTTTTCTAGTCAGAACCACTGCCAGAAGTGAGATGGGATAAATAGAAAGCACCCACTGCTTTGGGGATGATATTTTGGGGAAAACACTTAGGCATGCTAGTTCCACATTTTGTTTAACTGTTGTGAATTTGCGCATTGTTGGAACCAATGATTTTCCTTAATTTATGCGAGAACTTTGTATCCAGACTTCTAGTTTCACAGTATTTCTCTGGTGGGATGTTTTGCCCTTAGGGGACATTTAGCTATGTCTGGAGACATTTTTGATTTTCAGGATGAGGAAGGTTAGATTTCTATTAGCATCTAGTATGTAGAAACTACAGATACTGCTGAATATTCTACAGTGCACAGAATAGTCCTCAACCACAAAAAATTATTTGGCCCAAAATCTCAGTAGTGGCAAGTTTGAGAAATTGCAGTTCAGAGGTTAAGAACAAAGGTTTTATCATGAAATAGTATTGGGTTTGACTACAGAAATGAGGTTAATAAGACCTACCTTACAGAATTGTTGAGTGAATTATATGCCGTATATGATTTGCACAGTGTCTGGCTTATGGGCTGTGACCTAATTCTCTGTTAGCAATTATCTTTATCAGACTTACTGTCCAAAATGGAATTTATTGAATTTATCAACTCCAAAGGATTTCATCCTTTCTTTTATTCATTCAACAATCATATATTGAGTACCCATAACGGGCTAGGCACTGTTGTAGTCTCTATTTTACCCTTTTGATCTGCAGTTTTGTTGTCAAGTTTTAACTGAGAAACACTCATTCTAAAATACTGAGTTAGATTGGCCCATTGATTTTTTTAGGTCAGGTTTATTGAGATACAATCTCCTTAACATAAAATTCACCCTTTTTGTAAATATATTGTGACTTGAAAATACTAAAATGGGGGCGCCTGGGTGGCGCAGTCGGTTAGGCGTCCGACTTCAGCCAGGTCACGATCTCGCGGTCCGTGAGTTCGAGCCCCGCGTCAGGCTCTGGGCTGATGGCTCAGAGCCTGGAGCCTGTTTCCGATTCTGTGTCTCCCTCTCTCTCTGCCCCTCCCCCGTTCATGCTCTGTCTCTCTCTGTCCCAAAAATAAATAAACGTTGAAAAAAAAAATTTAAAAAAAAAAAAAAAAAAAAGAAAATACTAAAATGAATGCAAGAGTGAGATTTTTTTCTTCCCTTTTAGCTTGTTTTTAGATAACAATTTGAAGAATGATGATCTGAGTTTAAGGATTATATTTAGGTCACTTCTAACAAAGAAGAAAAAATATGTGAATTTGTGGTTAAGAGAAATATTTTATGTTAAATTGGCAGTTAGTTGATATTAGGGGAAATCATATATAGTATTAGAACATGATATCATAGCTTTTTAAGTCTTATATTCTTAGATGTACACCATGAAGTAGGGTATTTTATTTCGCTATGGTTATTTATCATAAATAATTTAATTTCTCTTTCTCTCTTGTTTTTGTTTTCTTTTTATCCAATACAAGAAATCTCCCTTACAGACAATAGGTGAAGAACAAACCCAGAATCCCTACACTGAACTGCTTGTACTGAAAGCTCATCATGATATTGTACGGTTTCTGGTACAGTTAGATGAATACAGGTAAGAAGCTCTAGTTGTCCAGTTGCCTACTGTTTGGAAAGAGCTTTTAGGGAATTGTATATTTGAAAACAGCTTCATAATTAATACATCTTTTCTAAAAATTTCAAATCTGATCATCTGATCTAAAAATTTCAACTATTTACTCGAAATTGACATCTGCATCTTAATGAAATACGCGTCTGAAGTCATTTTTTGCCCAGAAGTCAGCATGTCATATTTGGTGATTTGATGGTTATTTTTATTTGAAGTTTCTTTTTTTTATTGCCCAGGAAAATTTTTTGTTAGTTTAGAAGAAGTGTATGACTTTAAAATTTGCTTGTAAACAAATTTTACACAAGTGTTGTTAAGGTGAACCTAAATTTGAGAAACAAATATGGGAAATGTTTAACTATCAAGTACCTACCAGGAATGTGCTATTTTTAGTAGAAAGTAAATATTTAATCTGAATCTTATGTTAATGAGGAAATCCTTTTAAAATGTTCATTATTTACTTTCTTGTCAACTGAGATAATACTGTGTTTAACTGCAAATAGAGATGAAGTATGTAGGTCTTAGGATTGTAGATTTAGCTCATTTCTGATGTATGTATCTGTTTATTAAGCCCTTAGTCAGCTTAAGGTTATACTTTGTAATATGTAGCATAATAACAATTAGAGGTAACTAATTAGTAACTTAGAGGTAACTAAGTAGTTGTGTAACTGCTTAATATTTGTCTTCACTAGAATCTAAACTTCATGGGAGGCATGTTTTTCTTATTCACCACAGTATCCTTGGTACCTGAGACAGTGCCTTACATATAGCAGGTGATTAATAGTTGTTAAATGAATGAATATGACCCTACAGACAATATTAAGTGTGCATGTTTCATGCCATCCTAACTCCCTAACCCCCGTCTGTTGTTCCTATCAATTTTTCTGCTATCATCTCTAATCTTCTCTTTTACCTTTGATACTTTTTTTTTTTTTTTCCATTTTTGACTCCATGGGTGACTGCTGTTGTGATTATTCCTAATTCTGACCATCACTTCTCATGTCTTTTAGCCTTGTCTTCTCTCTTTTTTTTTTTTTCTTTAATGTCTTTGGTATTGCTTTTCCCATGTGCCGTGCAAGTATGACACTACCTGGAGTTAGATTAAATTTTACAGGTTAGGGACACAGTCCTGCACAGCACTCTCTGCACATCAGTCACCAGTTGTAATCTCTAGGGGTCCCAGGCCACTCACACTTCAGCACATCAGTATGTATTACCAACAGGGAAGCTCACTTAAGTTCTGAGTATCCAGAGTTTTTATTATCCAGAGTTTTATTGGGGTTCATTACATAGGAATGATTGAGTCATTTGCCACCTGATTGAACTCAATTTCCAGCCCTTCTCTCCCTGCCCTTTGCCCATACTTCAGCCTCAGGTTGGAGGGTCAGGCTGATATCCCAGGGCTCACAGCACCAAACCTTTAATTACATGGTTCATATTTCCCACATGGCCAGCCCCTATCCTTAATTGTGTAGGGATCCCACCCTACATCATCTCATTAGCATAAACACAGGTGAGTTCTGAGGAGCCCAGCTGCCTTCTAGAAACCAGGGACAAAATCCTGACACATTATTGTACAACACTATGTTCCTCAACTTTTGCTTTAAAAGATTGACCTCATATATATTACTAGCCTTCCAACACTGTTTTGTTGTGATATGACCCAGACAAATCATAACATGTAAACCATAATATAAGAATCTTCAGCCCTTTGGTAGTATTCATTGCTTATATGTTCTAAGAGACACTCTGATTTTTTAGTCAGCCAGCCAGTCAGATTTTTGAAGCTAAGCATCGCTGGAAACATGGGATGTTTGGACCGCTAAATTTTTTTTTTTTTTTTTTTAAAGTTTACTTATTTATTTTGAGAGAGAGAAAGAGAGCAGGAGCAGGGAAAGGACAGAGAAAGAATCCCAAGCAGGCTCCACACTGTCAGTGCAGAGCCTGATTCCGGGCTTTAACTCGAGAACCATGAGATTCTGACCTGAGCCGAAGCCAAGAGTCAGATGCTTAACCTACTGAGCCACTGAGCCACTCTGCCCCTGGACAGCTAAAGTTCCTTACATGTTTTACCATAGTAAGTTGCTAAGCAGGTTTTAAAAAAACCCAAATACAGTAAAACCTTGGATTGTGAGTAACTTGTTCTGCAAATGTGCCACAAGATGAGCAAATATTTCTAATAAATTTTAACTTGATAAATGAGCAGTGTCTTGCAGTATGAGTAGTGTGTGACTCCAAACATTGCATGATCACAAGTGAGCCAATGGTTCTTGAAATTTGCTTTAATATACAAGTGCTTTGGATTATAAGCATGTTCCTGGAATGAATTATGGTCACAAACCAAAGTTTTACTGTGGTTTCTTAGACTATAATCACTAATATTTGGGTCTTAAGGAATCCTCAGATCATGTTGTGTAAGAAAATTAAATAAAAATATACAGTGTACTTTCAGGATGTGATCTTTAAATTTTTATATAGATTAACTGTTAAGATTCCATGTTCGTTACTACCTGTCCTCTGAAATGTCCTCTTGGCTTTTATTACATAGAGTAAGAATCTGCAGAAAAGGCCATCACCTAGAATAATGATCATTGTGAAAATGCTAATATCTAATTACATTTTCCCCACAGTGATGTTCCTGTATAAATAAGTTGTTTAATGATGTAGTAAATGTTCTGTTAACAGTAGAAAGTTATAGATAAGTGTATCAAGTTATATATTGCTCTTTTAAATACCACCCCAAACTTAGTGGTTTAATACAACCTGCTGTTTACTTAGCTCACCAATTATTGGGCTAGGTTCAGCTGGGTGGGTGTTTTCCATCTGTGCCAAGATCAGCTGATCTTGGTTAGATAGTAAACCTAACCTAGGCATCTCTGGTCAACAGGTAAATGGGCTGGGCTGGGTGATTCACATTGGACTCAGCTGGGATGACTGGGATCGCTCTTCATAAGATTGCTCAAGTGCTTGTGCACGTAGTGATCATGGAGTTCTCATAAGAACGAAAGGGAAAGCCCTGTTGTAAGCTCTTCTCACGTCTTTGTGGTGTTTGCTGCTGTATTGTTTGCCAAAGCAAGTCAGGAGCTGGCCAAATTCACTATGTTGGTAAATAAACTCTACCTTTTGAGGGGAGAAGCAACTAAGTCCTATTGTAAATGGTGCTAGACAAAGGGAGAATAACTTGTGGCCATGTTTGCTGCCCACCGCAGTGAATCTAAATGTCTAAAAATGGATGCAAAACTTACATTTTGGCTTTTGCAATAAAGTGAAGATATTACTACATGAGTCACATTTAATTATTTGTATTCAAGTTATTACTATGCCAAAATTTACATCTAGTTAGGAAGTTTTTCTGTCAGTCACAGACCTATAGAACTTTCAATCTGTGTTTTGCTTTAAAAACTGAATTCTGCACTGAAAGAAAAAAACTAAATGGTCACTACTGGTAAGTAAGATATAAGAAATATACAAACTGTATAAGTATTTATTTAAATGGAATTAAGAGCACAGCATTTTCATTCTCAATTTTGTAGTTTAGATAATATAGAATTATCTTTACTATTCCAGATGTATATTATTTTTGCATTGTCAAATTACAGAAATACCTTTTCAGTTTTAAAATAAATACATATTATATTTTATGTTTTTTATTTAATTTTTATGGACCTTACATTCTGGTTTTTTGGTCAGCTGTTGTAATCCAGGTTTCACGCTTCAGGTCTTTAGATAATATCATTTTATTGAGAATTTTGCAGAAGGATTTTCTTGTTTTCTTGGTGGCTCAGCTAAAATCAGTGAGTGGAAAATTTTCACAGATTGGTTTTTGAAGATACCAAATAAATCCTGTATAACCTAACAGACAGCTGCCTTTTCTTTTCTTCTTTAGTGTTTTTTGAACATGAAGTGAGGGTCATATTGATTGGGAGATCACTAAAGAAGGCTAAGCCTCAGCAAGAGTCTTCCAAATAATGGACTGTGCTAAAATTGCATGTAATACTCTAGCATTTGACACATTAAACTAAACCGAGTTCATAACACATTTTAAGAATAGTTTTTTCTGTTGCTCATTTGACCATTCCTTGCTCCTCCAGGAAACAGACAAGGTTATGTAGGATGGTGATCATGACTGGAAAAGAATCAGGTGACCCATGAAATGCCAGACTGGAGAACAAAATGTGCCCTTAGGATAGCTGGTGAAGCTGTACATTTACAAGAAACTAAGTCAACTCAGTACAGTTTGATAATTCACTAACAGTATGCTATATCTTTAAGAAAATATTCTTAAGCTAAGAATATCTTCCTTATATTCAGAGAATAGAAATCAATAGTCAAGGTGATTTAGACCCTCTTAATCCCTGAGTTCCCTGCAAAGCAGATAACAAAATGGAATTAAATATGCAAATGGTTTATTAGAAACACCAGTGAAGGGACAGAGAAAGAAGCAGGATTGAACAAGGGGAGCTGTCTCAGACTATGGTCTAGATCTGACAAAGTCTCTGTAGGCCCCATGGGGAGCTCTGGAGGAAAGAATGCCCTTTAGGGGAATTCTATGTTGGATAGAAGTAACTGGGACTTTTAACCCTGCCTTGCTTAGTCATTAGCTGAGGGTCATCCAGGAACATGCTTCTGGCTTCCACCACCTTGCTTAAGTTCCATTACCTGGAAGCCAACTGAGGTAGTATGACTTTGGCTTCAAAACTGAAATGGACCCTGAAGTCAACAGGTGGAGGCTGGTAATCACCTTTCTGAGAGCTGGGCAGCTTCTCCTGAAGGGGTATCTGCAAGATCTGTATTGCCTTTCCTATACAGACTGTATCTGGGATCAATAATAATTGATGGGAGGAAATTTCTTTTTATAGAAGAATTCAGGCTAGGAAAAATTGTGGAATTGGAATATTGTAATTTTGCAACTTCTAATAAATTTAGAGAGTTTACCGATGGCTGTTAACCTTACATGCACACAAAGAAAA